ATTTGAGACAATTTCAATTAATTTATCAAGAAGAATTCTATGTGAATCTTAAAAGTTATAATATCTTTTACAACTCGATAAATTTATTTTCCTAATGAATTACTTTTAGCAAAATTAAAAAGTTCAAAGTATTCAAAGTAATACTATTGCAGAAGCTGAGAAAACTGTTGAAATTTTTGGAGTTCAGGAGCAATTTTTTTAATAAAAACAGTGTGCCGTTTTTCTTTACATTATCTTCATGAAACACTCGCAAACTAAGAAATATAAAGACTTGTATGAAGAAATTTGGGTCCTAACAATATAGCTTCTTTAAATTTCTTACTCTTTTTTAACAAATAAATTTGTTACTTACTGGTTTCGGTAGACAAGTACATTGTAGTAAAATAATCATTTTATTTTATTTAAATTAAATTCTGATATATTAAAAAATAATTTTGAATTTTTTTTTTAAATAAATTTAAGAGAAAAATACGCCATTTTTTTTTTTTTAAATACATCTATGATATGTTTGATTCTTTGAAGAAAGAAATTTGCCGTTAAAATAATTTAGGGGTCCTAGATTATAGAATAGAAATTGGCCTCTAACATGTCTTCTAAGATCAGTGGTAATAATTTGCAATTTTTAAAATTTAAAATTTTCAAAAACTAAAATTGCCTTATCAAGAGATTGTGGCTTAATAAAATTAATGCAGATTATGTCACTCAGCTTCAGAGTCTTTATCAATGATTCTTTTAGAATTTTGAACATTTTCAATATAAGTGCAAAATAATGTCGGTGAGTTTATATAATAAGCTGAGTGTAATTGATTTTTAATAATTATTATTTAATTTCATCTTAATCTTTTTTTTTCTTTTTTTTTTTCTTTTTATTATCTATCTAATTCTATATTATCATTAGATGTATAATATCAAAAATAACTTATTCTACAATAACTATAATTTAAGTATGTTATTGTATTTTTTATAATTTATTTTAAGTTTTTTTTTTTTTTTTTGAAAATTAAAAAACAAAGAGAATAAATTTTAAAATTATTTTTGTTGATGTCATTTAAAAAATTGTATTAATGTTAATTTATGTTGTTTTATGTTTTATAGAGAAACAAAGGAAAAAAAAATATTGTATTTGAATAATGAACGAAAAATGGATAAAGTAGGAAATTTAATTATTAATTAATTTATTTTAAAAATTATTTGCAATAAAAATACTATTACATAATATTAATTAGATTATAGAATAGGTTTTATAACTTATTTATTTAATTTATTTTGTTATTTTTTTTTTCAGTTTTTTCTTTTCTTCTAATTTTAAATTATTAAATTGCACTATGCAAAGTCTTTTTCTTTTATGTATTTAAGAATTATTAGTTAATTTTTGTATTTAAATTCAAGCTTTTTTCGGTTTTTTTTTTTTTATTTTTTTTTTTTTGTAATTTTATTAACAATTAGTATTTAATTAATTACTATACCTAAAACATTTTTTTAATTACATATTATTATAATTATAAATTTTTTTATTTTTAAAAATTCATTTAAGAGTCTTATTTACAGTATATCCTTTTCGTTACTTACGAGATATCCTTTGAGTTTTACTGTTTTTATTTTAATAAACTGAAGAAGAAAAAGAAAATAATATTAAGTATTTGTAAATTCAATGACAAAATAACAAAAAAAAAAATATTATTATTATACTTAATTAAAATCAAACAAAATAAATTTTGTTTGTTTTTTGTTTTTTTTTTTGGTTTAAATAATAAATGCAAAAAATAATTTATCTTAGTATTTCAGTACAATATAATTATATGTAAAACAATATTCTTGGTTATTTAAAAAAAAAATTTTTAAGAATATTAAATATTTTATTTTATATAAAAATATTATAGAATATAATTAAAACATAGAACATAGAATATGATTCCTACTTTTATAATAGAAAAACTGTTTTTTTTTTTTTTAAATTAGAAAATATTCAATTTAAAATTAAATTTTTTAATTGAAATAACAAAAAAAAAAAAACAAACATATTATTATTTATAATTCCTTTAAAGTTTTGAAATTTTATTAATTATATTTTAATTTTAAATTAAATTTTGTGTAAATAAAACAAAAAAATTTTTTAAGTTCTCTGTAGAAAATATAAATGAAAAAATTTTAAACTTATAATTAATATGAAATTAATAATGAATATTGTAATTAAATTATTTTTTAAAAATAATCCAATTTAAATTCTTGCAAATACAAAATTTTTAAATCAAACTTTATATTAAATTTAGATCCTCTAAGAAATAAATATGATTTTCATAAAAAACAATAGATTTAAAACAAAAAATTACATTATATATTTATACATTTCAAGTTACATAAATAATTTAAATTAATTAAGAAAATAATTATGTATTTTGGTGACAAAAATTAATTATAAATTAATTTTAATAATGATGTTTTTTTTTTTTGTGACAAAATAATTGCATTGTATTTTCATAATAATAAAAATAAGGATTAAAAAACAAATAAAGAATAATTGTTTAAGGATCTTATTGTATTTTAATTAAATAATTTTAAAATATTTTCAAGAAATATATATTTTTTTTTTCTCTAAAAACAAATATAAATTACATGCGAGGAAATGAAAATATAACAAAATTAACATTTTTTGTTTTTTTTTTTTTTTTTTGTCTTTTCTATAATAATTTAATTCATAGATATGCAATTTGAGATTCAGTTTGTGTTTTGCTTTTTTTTTTTGAGGCAAGATTATTAGCAATTAGCCTTTTTAAAATTAAAAATTATTATTAAAAAATAAACTAAAATAAACTAAAAAGAAGGAAATTAAGATATTTTTATTATTGTGTGTTTTTTTATTTACTTAGGCTATATCTCTTCATAGTTATTACAAATTTTAAGTAACGCTTGTGTTAAAAAGAGGATAATTAAAATGTACATTACTATTATATTTGGATATATTTAATATAAAATCGTTGCTGAATTTTTCTTTAGGCTTTAAGCTTTAAATATATATATTTTTTTTTTTTTTAATTTTCTTTTAATATTGATTTTATATAAAACAAAAAAAAAAAAAAAGTGAAACAAAAGTGATTTAATCAATTCTAATTAATTTAATCTCTCTAATTAAAACTTATGTTTATCGGCAGTTCAAAATTTCATTGGTTTTCAATATTTAGAAATTTTTGTTGTTTAACAATTCTTTAAAAAACGTATTATTATTATTTTTTTTTATTAATATATGTATATGTGTAAATCGATATCTCAAAATAATAGTTAGATATTATGAAAAAATTCCAAAATTTCATAAATATGAAAAAAAGTTTTTTATTTTTTTTTTTGGGATCTTTATTTTTTGTAAAATTAAATAAGTCTTAAGACTAATTATATAAGATTTCTATATATAGCTCTGATTACATAACATATTCATATTATCACCAAATTTTTTTCATTATTACTAAATTTGTAATATAATAATAAAATAAATTCAAGAAATATTCCTTTGAGAATCGAAAATATTAAAATAAAAAAGTTAAACAGATTTTTTAAGATTATTTGAAACCATATTTTTTTCCAGATATTTGACTGTTATTTTGAGGAATCGATATATTTATAAAATCTTCATTATTTTAAATACATATATTAATTATATATATTTATAAGTATATTTATGTAATCATGTACAATATTATATTTACAATGTTTTCTTTTCAATTCATTTTATTTTATTTTTTTCTTTTTTGTAATATAAATCTATATAACTACATGAAACCACAATTTTAAAATAAATCAAAATTAACTTTATATTAATTATTATTAATTTAAGAAATATTGAGTGAGAAAATTATATAAAAAATATAAAATAACTTATAAAGTAAAATATATATTTATTTTATATTTAAATTATAATATTTTCAATTTTGTTTATAAAAAATAAGTAAAAATAAAATAAAAAATAAATAGTTAGCTAAATTAATACTGTTTTGAATACAGAAAAAAAAAATCTGTATAAAAACTAAAAAGTAATTTGTATTAAATAAAAGACTACTACTATACATTTTATTTTATAAATACACATAATATGTTTCAGTATAAAATATACATAATATATAAATAAAAATTAAATAATAATTAATTTTTTTTTTATTTATACTATAGAAAAATATTTGAACATAAATTTAAAAGTTTTTCGTTTTTGATGGACTGATTATATTTAAAGCTAATTTTAATATATTTTAAGTACCAGAAGAAATAAAATTCGCTATATTATTTATACAAATTAAAAATAAACAGAAAATTCGAAATAACTTTAATTTTTTTGCTTTTTTATCTTTTTTTTACAAATATATCTAATTAATTTAGGTTATTTTTTATTTTATTATTAAGAAAAATATCGGGGATTACTTTTCAATTGACTAATTTTTCATAACAAAATTAAAAAAATTATTTAAAAAAAAAAAAAAAAACAATATTTTAATATTTTTTTTTAATTATAAAATTATTTAAATATTCTTATGTAAAAATATATTGTAAGGAACTCAGAATATCATTATTTAGATTTATATTTATAGTTTATACTAAAATTACATCTTATCTTAATAATTTCTTCGGTAATTAAATAGTTATATAATTTTTGTATAATTCATTTAATAAAATGATTTTACATAATATTATTATATATTTGTATTTATTTTATATTTTGTTTATTGTATTTATAATTTTCTCACTCCCTGTATTTTTCTTTTTATAAAATATTTATGTACATGAAAAAATTTGAGTTTATTGTGTAAACACTAAAGAAGAAAATAGAAAATAGTTATTTTTAGATTATGTCATACATTGGTGTACATATTTTGGAATAGAATATAAAATTTTCAAACAAAAAAAAAAAAAATAATAAAAAAAAAAGAAAATTAACAATTTTTTTTTTTAATATGTAAAGACTTACAAAGAGTTAAAAAAATGTTTACTTTTTAAAATTTTATACTAGACATAAAAAAAAAAGAATAAAAAAAAGAAATTATTATCCATCTAAATATCTGAACCACCAGGTTTTTAAAAATGGCAATCTAACTTCATTACAACTACGATGTGGAAAATATTTTGTTTGCCTTGGTTCTTTACCATAAGAAGGAATCATTTTTCTATGTTTTTGACAATTATAACAATTCTTTTTTATACAATTACATTCGTATTTATAATTTTTACTTTCAAATTTCTTTAATTTAAGTATTCTACTTTGACTATATTGTTTTTGTATTGAATCGCTTTCATTTTTAACAGAATTATTATTTTCCAAATTACAATTGCTTTGTAATAGTTGTCCTTCCCTTAACAATGTTGAATCATATATCATATTATTACTACTATTTTCATTACTATTACTGTTACTATTACTATCATTATTATTAGAATTTTGTTGTGATTTTTGTAATATACGATAAGAGTTTCTAATTTTGAAAGTTATTTTAGGTCTAGCTTTTAATATTAAATGTTCTCTGGTGGCAAAGTGTCGCATTAAAGTGGTTTCATCTAAAAATTGCATATTACATATTATACATGGATATACTTCATTATTTAGTTCCATAAAATGATGTTCATTTAAATGTGAATGTAATAATTCTTCATAAAAAAATTCTGCACGGCATTTATAACATAAGTAACAACCAGGATCTTGATTTTCAATATGTAATTTATAATAATGTCTAAAAATTTTAAAATATAATAAAATATAAAAATCAATAATATTTGTTTTAATAATGAAACTTACTTTCTTAAAAAAGACTTTTTGCATTTTTTACAGTAGTACAATGGTCGAACACCATGAGTTTCAGCATCGTGGGCCATAACATTTTGTAATTTAACATTTTGGTATTCGCAACCATTGTTTTGGCATTTTATAAAGAAAAAAACTCTATCATCATGGTAGCTTTCATTTGAGATATCATCATATGGATCTAAATGTGAAACAAATAAAAAAAATTTTATTAAATTCAATTAAAATTTAACCAAAATTTAATAAAATAAATTTTATTTTTACCATAAGTGATAATCGGTGTTTGAACTTTATTTGGGACAATTTCACTTCGTTTCCTTTTAGAATTTCTGGTTTTACTTGTTGAGAAATTATCTTTTTCTTTATTATATATATGATGTTTGTTATATAAATTTAAAAAATGTCCAGTATCATTATAAGTTGTATTATTTACATCATTTTCGTTTTGCATTTCTGTTACTTGTTCCGTCCATCTTTTCGTATTACGCATTCTACTAGAGAATAGTGAATCGATGTCAGTCGTATCTGACAAATCGTTATCATCATCTTCTTCCATTTCTTCTTCATTGTTATTAAAATTGTTTTCAGTTTTAGAACCATCAACAGTCTTTTTGATTTTACTTTTTATAGATCTAGTGTAATACCTCGTAACATTACTAGAAATACTTGGATTTGCAATTTTAGATTGTTTTGCTTGGGTCGTACCAGAACAAATTGCCTCATGAAAATCAGCTTCCCATTTTAAAATAAATATTTTTGAACAATATTGGCAAGTAAGGGTTTTTAAATGAACTTTTTTATGCTTATTTAACAAACGTTTGGTCGGGAAATTTTCATCGCATTCTGGACAATCAAAAACAGTAACAGGCTTTGTAGTTGCTTTTGAGCTTATTGATTTAAGTGATGTAGTTCTTTGATTATCGCGTTCATGTTTACGTTGATGTTTTATTAAAAATGTTACTCTTTTATAAACCCGTTCACAATATTTACATTTCATTGTTACGGCTTCTTTATAAAGTGACATTCGTGATGCAATTTCTCCACCTAAGCAAATTAAATATAAAGTTAAAAATTTTTAAAACTTTTCAATAAATTTTTGGGTGTTACGGACCTGATTCTGTCATCGCAGCAGGTTCATTTTCTTCGTACATAACATTTAATAATGTGTCAATTGGATTTGTTGGAGTTGATCCCTTTCCAAAAAGTTGCTTAGTTTTTGGAGATTTTTTACTATTTGGTGTGGATATTGAATCGTTTGCAGTATGAATTGAATTTTCTTGAAAAAAGCCATTTTCTGTTAAACTATTATTCGTTTGACTTAAATCAGTTGTTTCATTTGTCAATATTGAAGACCGTCTTGGCATATTGCTTCCTAATTCTGAATTAACTAATGAAGTGTTTCGTCGTCTTTCTTTATTGTATAGTACAGGACTGTGTAATGAATTAACATTAGATATTTTCAATGAACTAACACTAGACGTTCGTTTTCTTGAGGTTTGCGAAACTTCTTTCTCTGAGTTTTGTGAACAATCATCTTTACCATAATTACTATTATTATCAGTACTATGACTTATTATACTGCCTTCTTTTTGATTTCCATTAAATGATGACGCATTACTTCTGGTTCTAGACTGATGCGTTGCTCTTGCTGATGTTGAAGGTTTTAATGTTATTAAGCGCCTCACCATTTCTTTATTTCCGCAACGATAATAATGATTAATTCGAGTTTTATTAATGTTTGCAGTCCAAATTCTTTTATAATCCTGTATGCAATGAATTTTGAATACGCACTGATAGCAAATATAATCAAGGTAATCATTGATGGGTAAAATCTAAAAGTAAAAAGTAAACGTTTATATTAAAAATTATTAGTCAAGTTTATATTTTTGATAAAATTAAAAATTTACTTTTATTTTATTTACTTTTCTCCAGTAATTTTACTACAAAGGCATAATGAAGATTTCAAAACGATTCACTTCAGAAAAGTCTATATTTACAATATTATTTCGACTGCATTCAAAATACTTTCTACGTTCTATTATTTATACACACATATATTAATATGAAATAGCTTCTTTCTAAATGTTTTGAGCACATGTATTACAATTAACAATCAGAATATTTTAATTTTTACAAACGAATATCTACAAAGCATTTAAAACTTATTTAATTCAGTAGCAGAAAAAAATATTTGTTCTTTAAGTATACTAAATTCTGTACTATAGTTTGTTTTTCAAAGATGTTTAAAAAAAGAAGAATCAAAAAAAATATATTTTGATTTTACCTTTGAAATATAGCAAAAATGTTGTACGTAATAAATTAGCCAAAGGCAGAAGATTACAAAATGAAATATGATAATTTCTAATATCAGAAACTTTAGATTTAAATGTAGATGCCAACAAGTTGCAGAAAGAGAATTATACTATAATTATAAGTTCAGAGAAAATAAAAAGAAAATAGTTTTTTTCTTACCTTTAAAATAAAAATTTATACGTAACAAATAAACCGAAACCAAAAGACCTAAGAGGGAGACTCATTCCAGTCTACCAATTTAATTTTTTCCTATAAATGGCGAACTATGCTAATGTCCGATTTGATGTAGTTTTCTTTTATTTTTTTTATTTGAAAGACTTACTTCTATATCCAGTTGTGATAATGTTCCTAACAATTCTGGTTTATCATTTAAAATTGCAAAATTTTCTTCAGTTCTCTTCGAACAAAATGTACAAACAACACTTTGTTTTACACTCCCAGTATTATCCGCTTCAAAATTTTTAATAACTAAAGTTGGTGTTGATGATTTTTTTCTAGATGACTTTTTTGTGGATGAATTATCATTCAACTCCATGATTTTTAAGAACACTCTTGTACACAAGCATTTTATTTGATTTTATTTCTACTTTAGAGTTCATTCAAAAATTGTTAAAATAAACTTTATGATAATAAGTAAAATTGTTATTTTTATCAAAACAAAAAAACACCTATTTAACTATTTTATTAGATTTTTTTTATTAAATTTTTCTTGAAAAATAAAAATTAGTCCCCTAAATACTTTTTTTTTTTTACTTTTCTCTCGTTTTTGACAGCTACTAATGTCAAAAAAAAATTCTCTAATTTCGCTTCTAACTACATGTAAATAATATGGAAGTATAAAAGTGAAGCGACAATGCTACATTAAGTGTCCAAATGACATTTTAATTTTAACCTATAAACACTATTGTATTATTGTCAGAATAATAAATGAAAACAGACTACAGAGTGATTTTTGAGCTTACTAAACTTAAATAAAAATTATTTTTAATTTCGTTTTATTTTTTGTTTTACTTCTTTCATCATTATTTTTATCATTCACATTTTTGGTGTTATCATTAAAAAATTAACCGTCAAAAAAAGTTACCATTGTGTATTGTAATATGTTATACATAAGTAGAAAGGAATTCCGGTGTTATCGTGGAAAAAAAAATGAGGGCTACAGCTGTTTGTCTTCTACTTTTCTTACGAAAGATGATATTTACTTTTCACTAATTTTTCCTTTAATTATTTTTTTGATTACAATGATGACAGCGGCAATATTTTAGTGTAAAAAGTTTAAAGAAAAAAAAAAAGAAATTCACAAAAACTTGACATTAAAAAAATATTTTTGACTGCTGCAATCTTAGAATTACCATTTTTTTTGTCAGTTTGAATTTCTGACATCATAAATCCACTCACAAATGTATAAACTTATAAAACATAATATGTACATGATAAAAAATTCACAAAAACAAGCATAAGCTGTTTTACGAGTATCAAAAACGGGTAATGTCATTTTAGTTTGCTGCTGCAACTTTATGTAGAATTCGAAATTAAATTTGAAATAAAATACAATTTAGTTTATTAAAACATAAATTTTGTAATTTATTTTTAATTAACTTTGTCATTTTATTTCACTGTTTAATATTATTCGGAATTTATAAAAGAAAAGAAATTGAATTTCAATGTTTTTTTTTTATTAAGGATTTTATTTTTATTTTTCTTTATTTTTTTTATTGACTATATTTTATTAAATTTTTTATTTAGTTTTTGTTTGTGTTTTGCTTTAAATTTAATTTTTAACATTTAAAATATTTATTCTAACATAATTGCTAAATTTTTTTTTTGTATTTTGTGTGTTTCTAAAATATTTCTACATTGTACGTAATTATATTTTAAATTTTTTTCAATTAACTAAAATAAAATTAATTCATTTGCTTGTTTTTTTTTTATAGATTAAGGCATTTATTGCATTGCCCCAGCACGATTTATTTTTTTATTCTTATTTTGTGATATTTAATTATATTTTTTCATTGTAAATTTTATATTATATAGCTTATTGAAAATAAACAAAAACGGAAAAATGTTATACCTTTTGTATTTAATTTAAAATATTATTTCGAAATCATTGAATTTTATGGTTTGTGTATATGGTGAAATATCTAAATTATATTTTAGGTACATTTTAATTAAGTATTTGTTACACTGCTTATACATAATTATGGTGACTTATGCATTTTCTAATGAAGAAAATTTGATTTATTTGGCTGATTTGATACTAGAACAAAGAAGTTGTGATAGTTAAAGTAATTTAAAATAGTTTAATAAATTTTAAAATTTAATAGCTCCAAGATAGAATATAAAAGACGATAGCGAAATATATTAAATTAAATTTTAAATATAATTATAATCTTTGAATATTATAACAGATCACATATAAGTTCTAAATTGTAAAACAAATAAATATTAGTTTCGATTATTTATTATGGCATCTGACGAGTTTACTAATAAATTTGACAAGAAAGTGAAATTATAGGAGATTTGATATTTGTCACTACATAATTATTATTCGTACATGTATAAAACTTGTACTAATTCAATGATATTAAGCAGTAAATCTGTTTCAACAATAAGCACATTACATAATTAAAATTTAATTAAAAATTATTTATTTGTAATTATACAAAATTTTGAATTATTTTAAATTGTCAATTTGCTGACATATTTATGTCAAATAATATTGATATTTTTTTTCCATATATTTTTAATTTCAAATATTTTATTATAATTCATTTTGATTTGCATTGTTTTCGCATTGTTTATTAACGATTCAGATAAACTAAAAACTTAAAAAAAAAACTAAATTATTTTATTTTTTTAAACTATTCATATATTTAAAAAAAAAAATATTAAAATGAAAATTTATAAAATTTTCTTAATTAAAAATAATAGGAGATGTTTTAAACTAACAAATTACTTAATTAAAAATAAAAAAAAAATATTACATAATATTTTCATGTGGACAATAATAGTAATCTTAATTATAACATCTATAAAAAAAATATAATTTAAAAATTAACTTAATTTTAAATTTAATTAAATTAATTATTGGATACAAAATTATTATTATTATTATATTTTTTTATTTGAGTTTTTTCTTTTTTTTTTCTGGTGTAATTAATTATTTGAGCCAATTGTTGTATGTAAAACAAAAAACAAACTAAAAGGCACTCGTATTATGTATAACTTGTGATTTTTTTTTATTATTGTTGTAAAATTATGTTAAAATTTATTGAAATGACGTTTATCTAACGTCAAAAATTGACATTTTTGTCAAAAAAGTAACTACATTTTTTTCAAACCGTGGATTTTTAGAAATAAATTATATGTAAAGGTTTTGATTTTGACTCGTTAAAAAATAATTTTTTTGTTTCTTGTGCTCTTGTTTTTTTTTTTTTCTAAATGTGGTACACCGACAATAATAATTATTGTTTTATTTATCTGTTTCAATACTCATTTAATTAGATTGTTATACTTGTCATAATTTTCTTAATCAGTCTTAATTAAATGAAAAAGATTTCGTTTTTTGCATAAAATTTGTGCATAAACTAATTTTATTTTCTGACTGTTAAAACAAAAATATATTTATTTAAAATAAGTATAAAAATTTGAACTACAAAATTTCAGTATATAAATCTATCATCGACAATCAATGCGCACAGAAAATTGTAAATCTAACGTCAATTCGAGTTTCTCTTAAATTGAAATAGTGGTATTGAACAAAATAAATCAATTTAACGTTGCATATGAATTTAGATTGAAAAACAATCTGTCAATTTTAAAATAAATAATTTAATTCACGTTATGAATTAGAAAGTAAAAGCTAATTTGAAATGTTAAACTAATTTCTTAAATTGAATTAATTCCAAATGAATTTAAATTAAATTTTTATTTATTTTTGGGTTTTTTCATTTAATTTAAACAATTTTTATTAAAAAAATATTATGACAAATATAATATTTTAATTATAATATGATTTTATATAAATACAAATATATTTTTTTATGGTCAGTCTTTTAAGAATGTAATTTTTCTTGTATATATTATATATAAAATATAAATTTAAAATAATAATAATTATTAAAAATAAAATAATTAAAAGTACAAAAAAAAAAAACTAAAATTATTATAATTTTGTAATTAACTATATATTTAATTATTATAATTAATATGAATATTAAACTAATCATAATATATAATTATTATTAGATAATAAATGCAATTTTTTTTTTTAATTTTTAAAAATCATAACAAAATTTCTACATAACAATTTATCAATATTAATTAAAAATAATATAAAAAAAAAAATAAGGAAAAAATTAAAATTAATTTTATTTAAAATTATTATTATTATTAATGATATTTCACTTAAATTTTTAAAATTAAACTATTTTGATTTAAAAATAAAAAATTAAAAATAAAAATTAATTTTTTAATATGGCGAAAACACTAAATTTTAATTTGATTTTTAAGTTTTTTGTATTTTTTCAATTTTTTTTTTTTTATTTATTTTAAATTTTTGTTAACATTTTTCATATAAATGGCAAAAGAACAAAAAAAAAAATATCAATAATATGCAATTATAAAATTAATTTTTTATACTTTTTATATTTGTTTTTGTTTTTAAATACAAATTTTTATATATAATTATTTAAAATTTTAAAAGTTATTTTAATGTTAGGCACTCGGTGATATACATACAATTAATGTTATCTCTATATATTATAAGTTTGAATAAATAACAACATTTGACTTAATTAATTTTTCAGATTTTTGCTACAAATATTTCAAATATTTTAATTATTCTCATTTGGTTTTATTAAAAAAAAAATATTTTTATATAATTTTATTTATTAATTAAATTTTTTCTTTTTAGAAAATTTACTAATTTTTATTTTTTAATAATTTTAATAATTTTAAAAGTAGTAAAAGTAAATCAAAAATAAAATTGAAGTACACTGTATTTCGAATGTACACTGTATTTTGAATCACTGCTTTAAAATAATTGAAAATGAAGTACACTGTAGTTTGTGTAAAAATAATTGATTTATATGATAATTAAGGGTATTTTTGAAAATGCAGTTTCAAACAAGCAAATGTATTTGCATTTCTAATTTAGAATTAAATCGCAGAAAAAAAAACCACTGCAAAATTTTCAATATTGCTACATGTAGTAAAGAAAAGTTTTTGTAGTTGTATATGCTGTACAAAACTTCTGTAATAATAAATTCTTCTAAAGTTTTCGGAAATTTATTTTTGTTTTATTTGCTGTAGCAAAATTAAAATTACGTATTTGCGATAAATTTTTTTTTTTAAGATCTTAGCTTGCAGTTGTAGTTTAAAAAAGTACTGTCAGAATATTGCTGCATTTTCAAAAGTTTTCAAATTTTCTTATCAATTATAACCTAATTTATGTGCTTGATATTTGTTTTTTTTTTTTAATTTAATTAATTATTTATAGGTTAACAATATTTTTATATTATACATATAAAATAATATATTTTAGTTTCTTTTTAAAAATTTTTGAGCACATAAACATACATACAATATTGATTTTATATTATTTTCATTTATTTATTTGCATAAATTTACAAATATTAAGAGAGAAAAATTGAGAATTTTGTAAAATGAAAATTTTACAAAATTTTATCTTTAATTAAATTATGTATATAGTCAATTATTATATTTCGAATTTAAAAAATTTTTATTTTCGAATATTGTAATTTCTAAATAAATATTTTTATTCTACTTTTCTGATATGAAATATGAATGTAGAATATTCATTTTTCTATAATTAATTGAGTTTAACTACAAATTTGTATAGGATAAAAGAGTACTAGAATTGTGAAATACCTGGAAATAATACAAGCAATAAGAGGCCTAATACAACAATCTACTGTGAATTTAATTGTCAGGCGAATTTAAAATAATAAAATAATAAGGATTTCTCCATAATTTAAGTTTTCTCTAATTCTCTCTCCAACATTTGAAATCGACATAATTTGAATGACATTATCTGTTCTTAAAAATCATGAGTGACTTGTAATTAATTAATATTTAATTTTCTGCCATAAGTATTAGCAGATTTCTTGAAGAAGAATTTATATAAAAAAAAAATTATTTTTTAATATAGTTGGAAATGTTGTTATTAAAAAAAATATTTAAACAAAAAAAAAAAATTTTCGTGTGCAATAAAATATTTTCAATTTTATATAAAAATTTGTTTTGTGTTTTGTTTTTCTTTTAAATTTTTGATAATTAATTATCTTATATAAAATAATATAATTATAGAATTACAGTGTGATTTAATGTACATATATAAATTTTATTTTATTACCTAGCATATTAATTATGAATTTATATATATGTATATGTAGTTGAATGAATGGAAATTTTTTTAGAAAAATATTTTTTGTTTTTTATAATAAATTATTTATATAATTAAAATAAATATGTAAATGATTAATAAAACAGTGGAAAATAATATATATATATGTAAAGTAAAATTTTGTTGAAAGGAAACTTATGTATTTTGTATATGTGTATATGCACTTTTTGTTACATACATTTAATGTGATTTAAAATTTTTGCTTTTTGAATTTTTTATCTTATTGTTAAAATTTTTAGTTTTACATAACTATATCATAATTGAACAAATTAATTATATTATTTTTTTTTTATAATTATATATGCTTATAATAATAATAGTTTGTGAGCAAATTGTTATACAGACTTATAGAATTCAATAAATTTTTTGTTTCTTTTTTTTTTCTTATTTAATTTTGTGTTTTAAAAATTAATTTTCAATCAGGCGTTAAGATTGAAATTTATAATTTACTTTTTGTAAATAATTGATATTAAAGCTTTTCAGTGTTTATTCTAATAATTGAATTTTTATTTGTTTGTATAATAAATAATAATTTTATGATAATTGTTATTATTAATATAGAATATTTTATTAATTAAAAAATTGATAATATTATATTAGAATATGATTTTAAAGAGCTACCAAGAATGTGTCTTGTTTTTTCTCAATTTAATTTAATTTTCTATTTTTTTTTTCTTATTTTTTAGTTATACTTAATTTATATTTTAAATATAAATTATTTAGTTCAAGATTGTGTGATTTATTTATTAATTATAATTATTCTATTGAACAATATGCTTAATTATCATAAAAAATACCAAACATTTTTGTTTTGAATTTTGTTATTTAGAAAATTATTTAAAATTTTATTGCACTTTCTATAATAGAAAATTAAAATTTATAAAGGAAAAAATTATAAAAAAAAAAAAAAAAATTTTAATTAATTTTTTCTTTATTTTATTTTAAAAATTAATTCAAATTATTAAAAATTATTTTAATGAAAATTTTATTTGAACTCGTCAACGAGCTTTTATTAAAATTCATTTTATTCTTGTTACATTGTAATAATATTAATAATTGAAATGTAATTAATTTGTAATTATATAAATATATACATAAAAAAAATTATATTTAAAAAAATTAAATGTAGAAAAAAAAAAAAAAAATTAAATATTAAAATATTGTAAATTAAAAATTATTTTTTAAAAAAATTTAAAAAACAAAATGGTAATGAAACTAAAAAATTATTTTTAAAAATTATATCAAGTAAAATATAATTCTAGTCTCTTGTTTCATCTTCTGCTATCAGTTCTCTTTTCATTGATAATGTTGGTGCTGATGTTACTGTCGATTCATGACTCACTGGATAATCTGTTGTTGTTGTTGTTGTTTCACTAATAGTATTTGAAGAAAGTTTTGATATAATTGGTGGCATTATAACACCAGTAGATTGTTGATTACCAGTATTATATGATGTTGATGATGATGATGATGATGTATTTTTATTATGATGTGATTGATGTAAATGATGATTACTTTCATTGTTCGTTTGATGTAATGATGATGGTGATCTTGATGGTAGCGGTAATGGTGGTTGTAATGTTGGAGAATGTGGTGGATGTGATGATGATGATGGTGATAATGGTCTTGTTGGTGATGGTGATTTTAAATTTTGTTGTACTGTTATTGATTTCCTATTAACAGATAGATCTTCGACACGATCTTGTTCATTTTCAATTTCTATTAAATTACGTTTTTTTCCAAGTCTATTTCTATTCTCATGTTCAATTAATTCCAATTCTCTACGTTCTGATAAACAATGATCATCTTTATATGTTCTATCCGGTTGTGATGATCTAGAATGATTTCCATCATCATCATCATCGTCATCATCATCATCATTGTCGAGTTCACGGTCATATTTCATAATGCATTCTCTTTTTAAATTTCTTTCATTATGCATATTATGTTCAGTATCTTGTGGTATTCTTAATTGATGTCGGGAATATGTTGATGATGAAGATGATCTATTCAAATTCATATTTGTAGTAGAAGTTGGTGGTGGTGAATTTTGATGAGATCTTGAATATTTTAAGGCAAATCCAGGACTGGGTGATCTTGCTGTACCATTAGTACCGGGACTTGTTGAGATACCATTGACAGCAGCGTGTGCTGCTGCTGCTAATGCCATTGCGTGTAATGCTTCACGTCCAGCTATATCACCGCCACGTGATTCAAATGCTTGTTGTAGGAATGTTGGATCAAGTAATGCAGCAGCGGCTGGGTGCGGTAGATTTGGTGGTAAATGATGTTCACGATGTTCTTTTTCACCATTACCGTTACCATTACTACTATTGTTATTACCGCGTAAATGGCTTGAATGTAATTCATTAGATTCATGCATTTGGGAAAGCATTGCTTCAGCCTGGCTATAGGCAGGGTGAGCAGTTCCACTTAAACCAAAAGGAAAACTAGCAGAACTACTTCCTGTACTTGGACTTCGTTTTATTGTACGATTCATAGGACGGCCTGTAGTGATACCCAGTTTTTTTACTTTGTCGTAAAGAGTGCGTGATGGTACACCGAATTTTCTGGATGCTTGCAAAGCACTCATCCCGTTGCGTACGCATTCAATGGCAGCTAAGATATCACTTCTTGTATATTGCTTATAACGTTTCCATTCTGGTTTTTGTGAATTGTTGTTAGATGAATATGACATATTTCCAAGTCGTTCATTTGGTGAACAATCATTTTTCATGAACATTTGATCATCATCACAAGATTTATCCATAAATGGAGAGTGTGGTTCATCATATTTTGCGTACTGTTAAGAGAGTAACAAATAATTAACACCGGAAATTATTTTTAATTTTATAACAAATATTAATTATAAAAAAGTTACCTTTTCATTATTGTAATCTAAGGGTCCTGAGCAGTTCAATGGTCCTTGTTTCTCGTTCTCCCTTTCTTGTTTAATTAATGGCATAGGTTGGGATGAATCAGCTGCATGGCTTTGGGCAAGGACGTTTCTTAATATAGGTGTGTCACTGGCCATCAACATGCTTGAGATCGATGATAGTTTTTTACGTTTTAGTGGATTCATATCCGGCGCACTTTCATAAACAGAACTTAACATAGCGGCTGCTGCAGCTGACGTTGGGATGGAACCGGGTCCTATTACTGATGAGATCGGCCATGGAGTGTGTTGTTGAGAAGATGAGGGTGGTGGTTGAGATGGTGGAGGTGTAATTGATCGCTGTTGGGTTTGCGATGGTGGACTTTTATCAAGAACTCTTTCAGTATTTCGTTCATTATGTAAACCACGCTCTTGTGTTTCATGTCTTTCATTTGATGAATTGTAACGTTCATTACGATCGTCAATGCTGCGTCTGTGTTCAGATGGACCTGGACTTTTTGTATACAGACTAGAATATGGTGACTTATATAAATATGATGGCGGTGGGGAACTACTACTTTGTGCCTGATGTTGTGTAATATTTGATGATGTTGTAATAACAGGCGATGATTGTTGATGTTGTTGCGAATGATGGAGATCTGACATTGTTACAGAAGAGGATGATCGATGTCCACTACGATCTCTATATTCTCTTTCTCTATAACCACTTAAACGTCTTTCAGAGCTACTAAGACGTCTTTCATTACTACTACGTTCTAAATTTAATGATGATGACGATGAACGATGGTGTGAAAGGGATTGAGAATAGTGATGATGACTTTCCCTTTCATTAAGATCTCTATTTGTATCTTTTATAGTTTCGCCAAATGTAGGTGGTGTATGTGCGGCAGCTGTGGATATTCCACCAATACCAACAGATTGCGAAGATGATGATGGTGGTGGAGGTGGTAATGGTGGTGTAAAAGGAACATTATATGGTGTATGATTAGGTGGGCCATTATCTTCAAATTTTGTAAATTTTTCTTTTAAGTCAGTCATATCAAATAAACCTTTAACTTCTAATTGTTCAGCAATTTTCATAATACGTGGTATTTGACTTTGTGTAACATTTACCTCTCCAGTATACATATACTCTAATAATGCACGCATTTCAAATGCCTGTACACCAGGAAATAATATACTACAGTGATCCATTGGAACATCTTGTAATATAGATTGAAAATATGGTGAATTAGCAGCTAATACAACACGATGTGCCTTAAATTGAACTTGTTCATCCACAACTATTGTACAATCAACATATGACTCCATTTTAATGAGAGCATCAAGGATTTCAACCAAATTTGATTTATGGTTGTTCCATCGAAGACAATAGGTCTGTCCTTCGCTGCTACCCATTTTGTCGAATTTATTTTTTAAAATATTTCTAATTAACGAATCAATTTTGAATAGATTATATGTTTGCCTTTCTGTTTAAAAAAAAATTACATCAATTCGTATCTGCAATAAAAGAAATAAATTTCAATTTTTTAGTGATTTTTTTATTGAATTTTGATTGAATTTTTGAGTTTGGTAGAATGTAAGGAAATTCCTTTAACTTTTTAGAAAATTTTTTATTTAATTTGTTATTTAATTTTTGACAATCAGTTTTTTCATAACGTGCAAATTTTTTTGACATTTATTTCAAAGCAAGAAATTTTTTATTTTGTTTAAAATAAAGCGAAAAGTAGCGTTATAAGAAATAAAAATTTTTTAAAATAGTTTCTAAATTTTATATTTTATCGATGTGATTTGTCTATAAAAGAGGGATAATCTTTATTTAGTTCAGCGGGTACTCCAAGGAACTAATGATTGCCGGTTCAAACTCTCGTTTAAAAGTAATCGAATAATCAAGAATAACTGATTGTTTTTCATTGCTATGAAATTTCTTAGTTTTCAAATAAACGTTAACCCTTTATTCCTCATTAGAAAATATTTCAATAAATAATGATTAAAAAATTATGCAAATAATTTTATGAAATTGTAACCTTAAATTGTAACCTTTTTCAAGGGTTTTCAAATAAATTTTCTCACAGTTTTTTTTATTTTATTGTTATCATAAGAAAATACAAGAAAAATTTTTACAAATTTTAATTTACCTTTAAGAAATATTGAATTTGCATTAAATTTGCATATTGATTGCACAAAATTATTCATCCAACTGAGAATTTATTTTGTGTTAGACCAATATTTCCTTAAGATATTTTTATATTGCCAAGATATTTTTATATTGAAATTGCCATAAAATCATTGGAAATTGTTATTTGATCGAAAATCAATTATTATGCAAATGATTATGAGACCAAAACTGTTTTGGAAATTTTAATAAATAAATTTTATAAATTCTATCTTTTTGATTGTAAAACAATTTAAGGATTAAAGGGTTAGAATTTGAAATCTGAAATCGTTTCTCCCTAACGGGATATCCAAATCTTCCGCATCTTTATTTTTGCAGCGATCCTTTTTTCTTAAACATCTTTCAAATATCTTGAGTTTTCATATTTTCGTTTTTAATTTAGAAAATTTTCATATATATAGGCGTTATGCAAATGAATTGCTTTTTCATATGTAAGGAATAATAAAAGAACTATTAATGTGACATAAATAATGATATGCATACTGTTAAATGAGATGGCACAAAAGAATGTTTTGCATAAATTTGCATATATTTGTGTTATAAAGGTAAATTTAAGTATACAACTTATTTTTTCTTAGTGTTTTTAGCCTAAGATTTCGGAATTGCATTTGAATGGCATTTGGAAGCAACTATTACTGATCATAATAATTGAAGAGAAATTATGGAAATTTCAGTATTGTGGACTTTAACTGAGTGAAATTCTGAAAATATGAAAATTATGATTTCAAAACCAAATTAACATGGCTTAATTCCTCAAAAAATAATAAAACAAAAAAAAAAACAAAAAAAAATTACCTTACACACCTCACTTATTTCTACTCCACTAATTTCCTTATTTGCTTATATACCAAAACAAAATATTTATATAGCAAAAAAGCAAAAAAAAAAACTAATTCATCAAATCTCATTATCATCAAAGGGAATAAATTTTATTTGGCAAAAACAAAAAAAAAAAATAAAATACAAAAATTATAAGAATAAAAATTATTATATTGAAGAAATAATTTCTAATTCGATCATTTTATCAAAAGTCCTTTTTTGTTATTAATATTTTAAATTCATTTCATGTTCCCAAACAAATATTCACATATACAATCAACCATCTCAAAAACCAACAAAAAGGAAGCAAAAAACAACAAAAATAAATAACATGAAAAACAGTAACATTCATTACGTTTGTATAAAATTTATCAACAAAAATTTCATTATTGAAATTGAAATTCGCCATTTTTATACATAAATACATATATATCTAACAATAAATCCATATATATCACATATATATCATATATGATATATATGTGATATATATGGATTTATTTTTAGATATATATGTTTTTATGTATACTATTATGAAATTTTAAATATTTTTTACTCCTGTACGAAATTCTAGGTCTAGGATATAAAAACAAAAACAAGTCAAATTTTTGATACGAAAGAAGGATTTTTTTTTCGCTTTTTTCACCCTTCATATCATCAGAATGAGAGGCAGTAAAAAAAAAAAATATCAAAATACGACCGTTATTTGCGATTATTACACACAAAAATAAAGCATAAAGCGAAAAGAGGGAGAAAAAAAAAACGCAAAAACAGAAAACCCAAAATATAAAATTTTTAAAGCAAGTATAAAAACAAAAAATGTAAAATTAAAACTGTATCAAAGAGTCCCCTTTTTACTTTCAAATATTTATATGTACATATTACATAACAATAAATACATATATAAATTTTTGTACATAAAGGAAGCCATCTATCTCCCACAAGGGTAAACGACCAGAAAACGACTAAGGCGACAAATCTAGATCGCGCCCTAAAAACCATTTTTATACATTTTTTTTTTCTTGTATTTATTTGTAATATTATTTTTATATTTTTAAAATTTGTTAAAAGTACAGAGGAAAATAAATACACACATATATATAGAGGAAAAAAAGAGACAGATAAGACGAAAAAGACGTGACAGGAGAAAATTAAAATAAAAAAGGGATTGAGAATGAAATAAAAGCAAAAACACAAATATCAAAACAAAATAACAAGAAATAAAAAGCAAAAAAATCGGCAAACCCATCCTCCGTCTTTTTGTAATATATTATGTACATATATATTTATATATACGCTATATATATATGATGTGGTATATTTAGCTTAATATATATATAGACGCATTTTGTTCATGAAAATAAAATTCAATATCCTTAGACATTTGCACATTTCTTCTTTTGTTATATAAGTATTTTGGATATAGACATACAAACGTACATACTCGTAAATTTGACGCAAAAAAAAAAACACACACAATATTTTTGAAAATTCAAAAACAACAAGAACGTAACCCCTCGCAAAACTTTTCTTTTTTTTGTTGTTTTATACGAGAGGAAAAAATTGGAAGAAATCCAAAATGAGGAACGAAAAAAAAAATATAAACAATATTAAAATATTGCTGTTGTAGTTATTGTTTTGAAAAATATGGAAATGCCGGTAATATTTTTTTTGTTTTGTTAATTTCATTTTTTCGTACTTTTATTTTTTTTTTGTTCAAGGTAGAATTTGTGTAGAATGAACACGTGAAAAGGATATTTATGTTTTTAATTCATAATTTTTTTTCTATATATTCGTATACTTATATATATATCACATATATATATATATATATATATATATATATATATATATAATATGTATATATATCATAATATATATACTTATATATTATGATATATCATAATATATTTATATATAATATGTATATATATCATAATATGTATACTTTATCGAAAAAATATTCTCTTTGCGAGAAAGAAGAGAAAAATAACATCATATACGAAATTTTGGTATATCCAAAGAATTTGGAGTAAAAATAAAAGTGATGCTTTAAAATTTAATTTTAAATTTTCTTTTGTTTTTTTTTTTTTCTCCTGTTCTTTTCATCTCGAAGGAATATAAGTTTTTTGCCGTTTTTATTTTTTAAAGAATTTATGTATTACAAAATAATTATTATTTATATTACTTATCCACATACATACATACATACACACATATATATTTGAATATATAGTAAATATTTGCAAAATGTTTGGGGATTTCAAAGATTTCCATAGGAAAAGCAAAACAACAAAAAAAAAATCAAAAGGGAAAAATGTCAAAATGTTTTTATTTTAAAATTTTTGAGTTATGGTGATTTATTTGACTATACATATATATATATATATATATATATATATATATATATATATATATATATATATATACATAGTTTATAAGTTTAGTGAATGTGTGTATAGTATTTTTTTGGATATTGCTTTTATATAGTAATTTTACTTTGATGTAAAGGGGATGCTGTGTCCTAAGATGTTGGGTACCGTTTTTACTCATATACAAATAGTACGCTATATAAAATGTGTTTAAAGCCGGTTATATTATATATAAATACATGGTGAGGTAATCAAAAATTTTTGCTCTTCTGTATATTGATCCATAAATTATATTCAGCTAATAAATTCTGCTAGTTTTTCATTTCTAATATTATTTTATTTAAAAATAAAATCAATTTTCTATACAACTTGTATTTTTCCTTCAATTCTAATTATTTTTATTTTTTACTAATAAAGTATGAAAATAGCTTACAATTGTATGACCTTATTACAATGAAGAAGGAAAAAAATTAAAATTTGAAAAAAATTGCATATATCAGGGCGAATAATAAAATTGTAACTTAAAAACATGTACTTGCATTGGATTATACCCAATATAAGAGAGTTATAAAATCTTAAAAAATATTCTCATACAGATTAAATAAAATGTTTATAAACATTATTGCAAAAATAATATTGGACAACATTTTGCGAATTTAGTTTCATACTAATTCGTTTCAGATTCTATTTAACATTCTTTTATATTAGCCAACCTATTACTCATTTCTATAATGAAATGTAAATAAAATTAATATTTAGAGATTCAATACTAAAGTGTGAGTATATGAACCTTAACTCATGTGTATGGTTCATGTACTCACAAGTGTTAGTTGAGAATTAAGAGTAGAAAATTTTTTGGGTAAGAACCTAATTACCCTCAATAAATTTTCCCATAAAATTGATTAATGTTAAAGCTGTTTTGCTGAATAGATCAGAATATTCAGAATTTTTATATTTTTTCTTAAGTATGTTGAACAGAAACAAAAAAACGTAGAAATTAAGAATGCTTCTCTATGGTTGTTATATTGTAT